GGGGTATCGGGAGAGGGCCAATGGCGGGGTGGCGCGCATGGGAGGTGAGTAAGGGGGTCGCCGGCCGGAGGGGGGACACAGGGCGTTCGGAGTCGCAACTCCGGGCCGGGGGACTGGACCCGAACAAGAGGGCCGCGCGAGGGGGGAGAGCAGGGACCGGGAAGCCGCGCGAGAGGCGGATGGCACACGTACAGGCCGGGGCGTCGGACAGCTTGGGGTTGGTGGCCGACGACATGGGCACCGGTGCCGGGCATGTCGGGTCATCGAGGGACCCAGCGACACCGTAAAAGTGGGCGGGCGAAATGACCGGACTGTCGAAGCCGCCGCCCGGCATATCGATCGGAGTGTTGCGGAAACTCACTGCGGTGCGGGGCGCGGGCGCGCAGCCGGGAGGTTGCACATGCGCGGCGTGGCGGATCGTTCCGGCAGGTGGGGGCCAGGCGGGGTGTCAGCTGGTGAAGCGTCGGCAAGAGCCACCGCAGCAGCGGGAAGGCACGAGGAGGAGGGCAAGGGCGGTAACGATCGGGGCGCACTTTTCTCCGAAGGTCCGGAGAGAGGGAGAGACACTGCCGTGCCGCCGCAGGAACAGAGGCAGGGGGGGGGGGGCAGATGCGGCTGCGGGGATGCGCGTAGGACGGGATCTGCTGCGAGAGCGTGGTGCGCCGAGACTGCGGGCGATTTTCTCTTGTTGCTAACTGGCGAGATGTGGGGTAGGGGGGGGGGGGGGGGGCTTTTGCGAGGGTTGGCCGTAAATAAAGATGGGCAGAGGAGAGAGGGAAGTGAGGAGAAAAAAGAGAAGAGGACAAGAGGAGAGGAGGGGAGGAGAGGGGGGGGGGGGGGGACTTTGTCGAGATTTGACTTTCTTCAAGCCTCGACAGCGAGGCGCGTATATGGCGAGATGGGGAGGAGGCGACTACTGCGGCAGGGCGGGACGTGTGTGCGTTTGGCGATTTGGAACTGCGTGGAATGGCAAGCTACTTTACAAGGGGTATCCCTTGGAGCAGGGGCAATGCGCCTCCGGGGGGTGCCTTTTATATCTCCCACCTGGTGGGGGGGCCTGGCGCAGCGGCGGCGGCGGCGGCGGTGGCGGCGGCGGCGGCCACCGGGCAGGCGCGATCTTTTCCTCTCTCTTGTGGTTTCGGTTGCGTCTCTTTTTTTTTGCTGGGGGTTTGTCTTCTTTTTCTTGGGGGGGGGGGGGGGGGGGGGGGGGGCCAGAGAAGAGGCGGGGGCTCTGAAGCCGGCGGAGGGCCACCGGCGACGCCGCTCCCCCCCCCCCCGGCGGGCGGGGGGACGGAGGGGGGATCCGCCGGTGGAGGCTATCGACGGCTGTTCCACGGAAGCGCTTCGCCCCCGGGGGAGGGGGCTGCGGGTCGAGACTTGAGGCATGCGAGCAAGGGAGAACGGCAGGGGTCGCGACCCTCTCCAGACGGGCCAGGCCGGACTGGGCCCAGATCCCGGCGGGCCGGCAGGGACCCTCCCGAGTGCGGGTGAAACGCCTACGCCGCTCGGCCCTCTCCCCCGTGGACGGACACATCGCCCGCCTCGTCGACTGACTCCACAGGACCCATCACCGAGGCACACTCGCACACCCAATCTGACAGAGCCCCTCCGGCCCCCCGTCCCCTCACATGGGCCCGGCCAGTGCTGCTGCCGCCGCCCCCGCCCCCGCCCCCGCCGCCGCTGCCACCCCAGGGAGGCCGATCACCCCCCGGCCGCCCCGCGAAGCCGAAGCATCCTCGCCCAGGGAGTTTTGGCACCGTTCCACCAGCAGGCCAGAGCGCCTGGCCATCGGCCTCGGCGGCCGCTGCCCGGGGCGCCGACCGGGCCCGTCGGCCACACATTGCAGGCCCGGCGCGCCACCTGCGCGGCGCCCTCTGATCGACGGGCTGGGCCGTGTTTACGTCCCGGCCAGTCGGATCGCCGGCCGGCGGTGTTTATGTGTGAGGGACCCCGGCCGATAGGCAGCCGATCCGGAGGGCGGGCAAGGCGCCTGTTGTCAGTTTTGACCGGAGCGGGGCGCGGGGGGTGCCGGCGGCC